CATAGCTCTGCACTGAAGCCGTCTGTCTGCGTGGCGGAGGGCTGGTTAATATAAACCATTGTACGATTTCCACTCAGGGAGTGGAGCTGGGTGTCTCTGCTCGGTGGTCATTGAGCAGTCGCTGTGTTCGGGTTGAAACTAGTGGGTGATTCACTGTTCGGGGCGCGAGGCGACTTGGTGACACGTACTGATAGTGAACATGGCTCTGAGCAAACAAGACTTGGGGAGAAGGAGCCGTTAAAAACCTCATCATCCAGCTACTTCCAAGTGGGCTGAAAAATGAGCACTGCGTGCGGGGACTCGGGGGAGAGGCGCTCGTATGTGCCCGAGGCGGGGGCTGCAGGCTCTCTGGCCACACTCCGGAGCAGGCTCAGAACATCAAGGCAGAGGGTGGGGCTCATTGCTAAAAGGGTCAAAATGAAGGTGGTTCTCTGCCCAAGTGGGCAATGCAGCTCCACTGCTCTGCTGAGAGGCAGGGAAGCCAGAGGGGAGGTGTCACCCTGCTTAAAGGGAGCCCCTATGCGTCAGCACAGCCACCCCTGTACGGATCAGCGGGGCTGCTCTAACCACAGGGAGATAGTTTCACAAACCAGTGCAAAATTCCTTTCCTGCCTGAGCAGGAACAATGACAGAATGAGATCAGCTGCATCCCCTCTGTGCAGGTAGGGGCCAGATTCTGCCTCCATGCGCTCCCCCATGGCTCCCTCTCATGCAGTTCAGTGCGAGCCCCTGCACCAATCCAAGGGGGAACTTGTCCCTAAAACGGGGAGGGGCCAAGTCCCAGAGTTAGCAAGAATTCAGTCCTGACCAGTAATTAGAATTTGTTCTGTTGAATCAGGAATCTGCTCCAATTTCTGTTTCATTTTATGTGCTTAGAACAGCCTCCGTAGCCCAAACAAAACAAATGCCATCAGCAGCTGTGTGGTTCTGATAAGTCACTGAAGCGATTTACGGGGTTTGCAAATTGCTCTGGAAGCAAGAGCGAGGTTTTTCTTTTCCTTTGCGAATCCAAGTCCTTGCCGCTCAGTTACTAGCCTGGAATTTAAAGATTCCGTCGTTCCAGTGCTTGCTTTTGAGGTATAATAAATGCAGTATTTAAAATACAAAAAGATGTAGACGTTTTATAAACACAGACAATGCTTACATAATTAACTAATAAAAATAACCTGCATTCTAGCCTGCAAAAAATGTTATTAGTTTCAAAACAAACAGAGTTTTGTATGATAATTAGAAGCAGAAGATGTTCAAACATGAAAGTGGACATTTTTCTTGGCCTGAGGTTAGGGCCTCAGAACGGGTCTCAGTTTGGGGGGTAGTAAAATCTCCCTGTCACCTGATGTAACTGACATATATAGGAGGTTGGGGATCTGAACCAGCTCCAAGCAAAGTGGAGAGGTATTTGGAAGATTTCCCTTTTTCTGGACACATCAGGGTTTCCCCTTTTGGAGTCTGCAGACATGTGAGCCCAGCTTATCTAGGGCAGGACCCTGCTGACCACGGAGGATGGTCCTTGGCTGACCTGGCTACCTCCCTGTACGGTATATGGCTGCAGGCGGATGAGGGCATGTGACTCTGGGCTGAGTGAGTTGTTCCAGGAGCCAGGCAGTAAGTGGAGCCAGGCCTGTGACCCTCCCCACTTCAGCCCGCTGCAGGCACATACTCCCAGACCAGTTCAGGAGCGTGACCAGGGATCTGCAGAGATGCATTCCCCTGCGGCTGCTCTAGGAGTGGTAGCCAAAGCCAGCCCTGGTGTTATTTCTGAGCGGGAGATGGAGTCGCTGGGCGGGGCTGGTGGAAGCGCTTTGGTGAGGGAGTCAGGGAGATTTTTATTCAGGGTTTATTACAGGTTTTGGACGCTGGGCTAAATTGCTGTTGTTGTTTTCATGATATTTATCTCCATGCTCAGAGCAACCAAACCAACCAGACCAGGTGTGCGACAGCCCCGCTCCCTCCCCACCCAAGTAGATTTGGGCGCGTGATTCCATCCAGCTATGCATCAGTATGGTCTAAGACAGAGTGCGAGATACCATCTCTTCTGGGTATTAAGCAATCGCACTGGTCCCAGATATTGCTGCAGTTGCATCTGAAATGAGGCTGAGAATAGTGGCTGTGCAATGCCGGGCTGCAAGTTCAAATCACTTGCTCCTTGGCCATCTCTTCTAGCCTGCTCAGCCTGGGGGAAGGGGGCAGGGAAGGAGAGAGCCCGTCTCTCTGAATATCTAATCCGGGCATTTATCGAGCACTCAGTAACGTGGTGTCTGGGTGCCTGTTCTGGAGCATCCTGGGATAGGCTCTGGTATGAGCTGTGCATGCAGCCCTCCTGGGTTGGAAGGATGGGCAAGAACGGGGAATCCTTGAGGTCTCTTTCCCTTGTGCTGCAAGTTGGACACAGAGGAGTTTTGCAAACGTTACCGTCTCAAGGCCAAATATGTTTTTCTCACAGTAGCACATATGAAGGCCAGCGCTGCCCAGGGCAGCGGGGCTCCCGAGAAGGCTGGGCAGCATTAGCTCAAGGACTTTGCTCCGTCTTGCTGCGTGGACAGATGCTTGTGTCCCATTGAGGAAGATACAGGCCAGGCTTGGAAGGGGGCCTCAGGAACAGATGTGCCTTGGCCACAAAGCACAACAGTGCTTGTAATGGCCACAGGAGCAATCAATTATTTATCTGGGTTTGACTCACTTTCTCAGGGCAGCGTTGAAGCTGGGCCATGAGCTCACTCCTTGCATCAAATATTAATGGCGGGTCTCCTGAGAGAGGGATTTCTTTCTATGATGGTGCTGATTGGCCAGCAAAGGGTCCGTTCTTACCTAAGAGCCAGGCTAGGGAGCATTTCACCACCGCAATAAACCGTCTCAAAGCTGCAGGAACATTAGTGCCATCTCCCATGGGATGATGCGTGAGCTATTAGGCCCAAAGACACAGGGCTGCTTGCTGGCAAGAAACACTCAGCTCTCGTCACAGGGGCTTTTGGAATTGGAGATGTCAAATGTTCTTCTGGAGCCAGCGTGAGCTGGGCCACCTTTCTGGCAGGAAGGATGTCTCGTGACTCTGAGAACGGTCCAGCACAGAACCCGGGCAGAGTCAGTCCCAGTTAAAATGGGAGCATTTGGGGCGAATTTCAAATGAGAAGCTACAACAGGGAGGAGAGCCTGTCCAAGCGTTCCCTGTCCGGCTCTGTGGATATACCTCCACCCTGAGCGGTAGCATGGTCTGCGTTCAAACCCATGTCCCCCGCCCCTCCGCCCCAGCTCTGCTCATGCACCAGCAGCCCGACCTGCAGCAGCTCCTGCTAAGCCGAGTCCTGGTTCTCCTCGTCAGTGGAAATGGCCAAATTAGCCAGTAGTTTTGTCCTACAGACACATGAATGTTGCAGCGAGGTGGACCCAGTTTATCTCCTGCTGGGATTTGAATCTGGGTTCTCCAGAGGCATGTACCTAAACCAGTATATCTCCGGGCACGTGTCAGTGCTCACACTCCATCCTCTCCACCCCATCCCTGACTCAGCAACAGTAACGTCTGCTTAGAAGGAACATCAGGATAGATGGGACAATAGGACTCTGCCTGATTCCCTCATCTCAGGGGGCTTCTCTTGCCTCCCAGAGTGTCCCATCCTCTATTATCCATTGGAAGTTTAGCATTGAATCCTGACCAAATTACTGATGGGCTTGCACTTTGCAGGTTACATTCTCACTGGTATGGGGTTGCATTTGGCCAGGGAGGTGCAGCTCTGGTGAAGGTTGGCTTGGGGTGTCGAAAGGTTGTGGCTTGACAGGCTGATACAAGGCGGGCTTCACCAAACAGAAGACAGATTGGGTTAGCTCAGTGACACGGATAGCGAAGGGTTTTCCTGTAATCTCTCCTTTCTGATAACTCGTGTGTTGGGCAGATTTGTGCCTGCTGACACCCACTGGAACATCCTCCTCTCCCGTCATTTAATCATAATTCTGCTACATTTCCCCTGTTGTCCACATGTTGGTGCGGCCAAGGCTCCATCCATAGTGCGATGTCACACTTAGGCCTTGGCTACACTGGCGCTGTACAGCGCTGCAACTTGCTGCGCTCAGGGGTGTGAAAACGCCTCCCCCGCGAGTGCAGTGCTGTAAAGCGTCAGTGTAATCAGAGCCTGCAGCGCGGCACGCTCGCTCGCAGCGCTGCAAGCTATTCCCCTCGGAGAGGTGGAGTACTTACAGCACTGCGAGAGAGCTCTCGCAGTGCTGGCGGCGCGACTACACTCGCACTTCACAGCGCTGCCGCGGCAGCGCTGGGAAGTCCCAAGTGTAGCCAAGGCCCTAGTCACTCTGCCGTGTGCTTCACCACAGAGACTGGGCAGATCTCACGCTGGAGCTAGGGAACACTCCCGTTTGAAATGCTCATTCTGGAGCCACACCTGGCCTGCTGAACTGCAAAGAAAAGGGTGACGTGAGGGGGAAATAGGAGACAGAGACAAAGGGGGGCCCGGAAAAGGGGGCTGGGAGGTTAGGCTTTGAGCGACCAGCTTATCTCAGGCCTGAGCCATTTCGTCCATTTTGAAGCCTGATCATTTTTCTTGCAAAGAATTCCGAATCGTTTGTTTGAGAATCGGTTCATTATCAAACCCTGTGCCAGACCCACCCTGCAGGAATTCCACGCCAGCTGGGCTGCCCTACTTGTCTTGGGAAGGGGCAGTTTCCCACATGTGCTGCCCCTTGCCAGCTGGAGAGAGGAGTGCTGACCTGGAGGAGGGCTCAGGCTTCTTGCCGATCCAGCCCAGGGACTCTCTGCTGAGGCCGACAAAGGGCCCAGATTCGGGCAGGGGTAGATGGTGTCTTGCAGACACTTGGCCATAAGGGCTGATTCCACTCACCCCGTGAACATGTTTTATAAACCTGAATAGCAGATCGCAGCCAGCGCGAGAGTGGGCCGTGTAACAAGCTGCTGTTGTTGCAACCAGTTCCCCTGGACAATCTTGCTGCTCTGCGATGTGTGTGTTAATCTGCGGGTATCTCTCTTGCCTTTTCAGTCAGTACCGAGGTGAGTCATGGCTGTGCGAAAGGCTGTGACCTGTGCTCTGAGTTCAACGGGTGCCTGAAATGTTCCCCCAAACTCTTCATACTGCTGGAGAGGAATGACATCCGACAGATCGGGATCTGCCTGCCATCCTGTCCGCTGGGGTACTTCGGTGTTCGCAATCCAGACATGAACAAGTGCATCAGTAAGTGCCAGGGCCTGGGAGAGGGAAAGATACAAAACAATGCTCTGCACTTATAGGTCCTCTCATCCGAGGCTTGCAGTGAGTTAACCCTTGCCTGCCCCCAGGAGGTGGATAGGTGGTAATATCCCCATTATATGGATGGGGGAACTAAGGCACAGAGAGTGAAAGTGACTTGCCCAGAGAATACCCACAGAAAGGGATCCCTTTGTGACTTGCTGCTTGCAGCCCTGAGTAAGGCATGAGAGCAGAAGAGAGATTTATCCTGTTTTGCACCTGAGATGGGAATGTCATTCTCTCCCCTGCAGAGGTGGCTGCGTTTCCACCCACAAAAGCAATGTCCCATCGGGGTAGATTTGAAACAGATTAAGAAGCAGCAGTTTGTGCCATAAGTTTCCCAGTGCCACCTAATGACTCCTGCCACGCTAGGGTCAGTGGAAGTAGTGAAGTGAGTTTATCTAAGGCTGGAAAGAGCACACACAGATTGTCCTGCAGAGAGAGAAATCAGTGGACATGGACCTAATGATGGCCTGAAAAGCCTGTCTGGCCTCCGTTAGCTTGGACATCAGCCCCTCCTCTCAACTTTTGACTTGCGTTTTGGCTTCTTTGTCTTTAGTCAGAGTCCCCAGGGACCTAGGTTAGGAGCTGACTGCAGTCATTCTTGTTAGGAACAGGAAAGTGTAGAAATTAGGTGGGAAGTGCAGAAATGTGGCTCGGAGCCACTGCAAGAGAGTGTAAATTGGTGCAACTCTGCTCAAGTCAATGGAGCTACACCCAGTTACACCAACTGAGCGTCTGGCCCAACGTATGTTGGGAACCAAATGTGCTTAAACCACTGAGAGCCTCAGCCAGTGACAGACAAAATGTCCTCACGGGCCCATCAGCCAGGGTCAGGTTGCTATCATGGGTCTTTATAAGATGGGCATGGGGCAGGCTGGGCGGGGGGGAGGTGAACTGTCAAACAGAAAGAATTAGAGACTTCTTGTTTTGTTGTGTGAATGTCTGGCTTATCCACCGGGTCAAAGTGATGCTAACATACTGGTGCCATAGCTGTCCTCGCAAGGTAACCCAGGTAGAGCTGCAGGCGTGGGTACCCACCTGGATTTGGGTCTTGAGGTGGGCATGCTCTTACTTCCAGGATCTGGGGAACCAGTGCCACAGATGCCACCTTTTCCTTCGTCTGCCCATCCATAATGAATTGGGTCTTTGGCCTGGGTCTGTCTGTCTTCTATTGCAAGGGGCTGGGCCAACTGAAAACCAGTGAGTGAGTTGGGCCTACGGACAATCCTGGGGTCATTTCATTATCACCTTTGTAGAACCTGGCACCACTGCCAGCTTCTGTAGCCCACACCGCAGCTGCGTAAGGAGTGACCGAAACCGGACTCAACTCCTTGTGTTCTTCCATTTTGGCTGATTGTCAAACTGAACATGAGCCCAACCTGATTATGTGATAACTTCAGCAGAGCGGCTCTATCTTGCAAGAAGGGGCCATGGCAGAAGGAAACCAGTTTCCTTCTTGGTAGCACAGCCAGGCCTGGCAGAGTGCTCAGAGACATACACTGGCTGTCTGCAGATTCCAAGGGGCCAGGAGGGCTTTCTAGTGGGGTATCTAGACCTCCCCTTTGCACAGCTCCACTCTTCCTTTCCCCTCTCCAGCAGATGGTGCCCAGTCTCCGCCTTGAAATGTAACTTGACCGCAATACACACTTTCTGTACGTAAAGGCCACAGAAGCCTGCCGGGAGTTGCTTTTCAATCATATCCATGGATCTGCTGATTTTGGCCCTGGGGGTAGAATTCAAACGCTGTGGCTGTTTTTTTCCTTTTTCCTCCCCAGAATGCAAAATTGAGAACTGTGAGGCCTGTTTCAGCCGAAACTTTTGCACAAAATGTAAGGAAGGTTTGTACTTGCACAAAGGGAGATGTTATTCCACCTGCCCAGAAGGCTACTCTGCTGCCAATGGCACTATGGAGTGCAGCAGTCCTGGTAAGTGGCATTAAAGCGGTTATAGCGATTGATTTGTCTGCCGGGTCTTGCAGCATTCTGCAGGCTTCGATTTGGGCTGCCTGTAGGGTGACCAGATGTCCCGATTTTATAGGGACAGTCCCGATTTTGGGGTCTTTTTCTTATATAGGCTCCTATTACTCCCCACCCCCTGTCCCGATTTTTCACGTTTGCTGTCTGGTCACCCTAGCTGCCTGTCTGTATGCAACAGCCTATTAACACTTGCCTGCTCTCGCTGCTGCTCCTCCATCACACCTGCTGTAGGTCAGTGACGTCCCAGGAACAGCAGCGACATGCTAGGGTGTCAGAGTGGGCAGCGCAGCAAGTATATACCTGTATGTGAACGTAGCAATTAGCAGCTCAGCAGGTGCAGTCTAGATGACCTGGAGGTATCTGAAGGGTTCGGCAAGAGCCAAGAAATTCCAGCTGATGTTGTTGAAAAGCTTTTCTCTTTCCTATGAGAACATCCCAGTAAATCTGGGGGCGCTATAGTCTTTCCTCCCAGGAAACCCAGAGTGTACATGTGACCTTTCCTGCCTGGAGACAGATTTTCCCTGTAAGACATGCACCTGAACTCCCCCACCCGCATCCCTGCTGTGCTGTGCAAAGCCAGGCAAACAAGAATCTGCCTCTTCATTTGTTCTTCAGTGGTTGCATATTTGCATCTGCAAAAAAACAAAAAAACAACAACAAACAGTCAGGGGCTGAACTCTGCAGGAAGCTCTCCGCCCTTGGCAATTTAATATTGAGTTGCAAAATGCGTGATCGGTTTTGTGTGTCGGTTGCTTTAAAGCATAGTTGTGGTTTGGAAGATGTCAATAAACCCTGCAGGGGACAAGGCTAGCTGCAGCAGCATTCTAATGAGTGAAAGTACAGCCAGATACTCAACCTTCTGGGCTCCTACAGCACACTGTCCCGGTTCATTGTTTGTTCATTGCTTCTCCGAAAACACCTGCTGCTGAGACTCACGAGCTAAATGATGGACTCAGGGATATAACAGCCTCAGGAAGGGGCAGGGGGAGCACACCTCTGCCCTGCTAAAGGCCCAGATGTGGGGTGCAGTGGGTGACAAAGTCCCCAAATGAGCACACAGAAAAATTATCTGTGCAGGAAACTTAAACTGCGGCAGGCTCCCCCCCCTTCGTGCAAATGGCTCCTCAGTCTTGCCAGTCTTTGTTTGTAAAGTAAATAATTTTCGGCAGTGAAAATGAGGGAGCACCGTGTTTGTGCGCAATGCGGGGACGTTGGGGGCCAGGCGGGGTGGGGTCCCTCAAAACGAGGGACGTTCGGGAGGTGTGCGGGGTGCGGCAGAATGCAGGCCAGAGCCATGGGGTTATTTGGGTTAGGCAAACATCAAAACGTGCAGATGCGTCCGTTGTTGGCACCCAGCTTCATGTGGGTGAGGTCCGTAGTGACCCACATCCGGGGTTGCCAAAAGGGAAAGGCCACGAGAGTCTAGGAGACGAGCGAGTATAAAAACAGGAAGGGACCGTGGTGACTTGTTCTAGGAGAGGCAGATGTGATGCGCTCCGAGGGTCCAGGCTCAGCATGTTCGAAGCGAGGCTTCCCATTCCCCTGCCGGGCTGGTGGAGCAGAGAACTGGCCTGGGGGAGCTGTCCTCTAGGGAGTGATGCACTGAGCTGTCTGGCTGAGAGGAGGTGCAGGCAGACTTCTCCTCAGGCACTGACTTGTTACGCAGTCCCTGCCCTTGATTGCCACAGCCCGTTGTGGTGCAGCCCGGAACTGGCGTTTGGACCCCAAGCGTCTCGCAACAGGCCCGGAAAATTCCCTTCACAGTAGATTTTTCCCCATTGTTTAAGTGTCTAAATAATGCCGGAGGCTCCGCCCTAGAGCTCTGGCTGGGCTGGGGTGTGTGGGAGTATTGCACCTTGCCGGAGGCAGCTCTGGGGGAGACAGCCATCTCTCTGGGATGCTGGGTGGCACGGGGGAGGGGAAGGACTCCAGGGACGTGTTGGGGGCACTGAGGAAAGTAGTTTTCTCCTGACTCTCTTGCTGTCTGGCAGCACAATGTGAACTGAGCGAGTGGGGCCCCTGGGGCCCGTGCGCCAAGAAAAGGAAGCTGTGTGGCTTCAAGAAAGGCAACGAAGAGCGATCGCGGAAGGTTCTGCAGGCTCCCTCTGGAGATGTGTCCGTGTGTCCTGCCACGACAGAGCTCCGGAGATGCACCGTGCAGAAGAACCAGTGCCCTGAAGGTGAGCTGATGCCAGGGCATTTCACCCTCTCCCTTTGGGGACACGTTCTGTTTGCTTGGCATTCACATTTCATTTCACTGCAGGGTGTAACAAACAAGGCCCTGTCAGGAACCTGACAAGGGCAGTCGAGACCCAGGGTCAGAGCAGGGGAAAACCTGGGGCTGGGAGTAGCAGAAGAGTTTGTAGTCAGGTTCCAGGCTGGGGTTGATACCGAGGGTCAGAATCCGGTTTCAGGCTCCGAGTCCGAAGGTGAAGTCCAAATCAAGCTGAGGGCAAGGCCAGGCACTCAGGAGCCAGGGGCAGGAATGGTGCTGGCAGGAATGGTGCTGTTGCCTGGACTTCCTGGAATGCTCCTTGGGTTTATATAGAGCGGGGAGCCAATCAGGAACCATCAGGCTGCCCCATGTCAGACCCCTTGAGGAGGGACTTCCCCCGGTCTGTGTCCTCAGCAGGTCATGGGCAGTGGAGCGCAGACTGGGTGGCATTCTGGAGATGCCCCACTGCCTGGCAGCTCTGTAGGTCCAGGGTTGAGACTGGCTGGGCCTTCCAGCCCCCAAATAGGCCCTGCTTTGTGCTGCACCTCCACAGGACAGACACGTCTGTGCTGCCTGTTCCGCCTTGCCACAGCCCGAACCGACCGATGTGAGCAGCTGTGATGTGTCTCATGCAATGTCATGAGGCACTGAGCGTCTAGCCTTGCTCTTTACAGCGTGTGTCCAGTTTGCCTTTCATAGGAACGCAGCCCTGCCTAAAGCCTTTTGGGGCCGGAGTGCAACACGACAACTAGAAAGGACACCTGGCTGTAAAAACAGAATGAGCCACTGAGCGGTTAGTTCTAATAGGATCAAGCTTAAAAAGTCGTCCCTGGACACAGCTTGCCGTGTCTGCTGTATGTTGGCATTCTTATTCCATTCGCTTCTTCACTGGAAATAGAGAACACGCCAAGACAGACCAGCAAAGGGCTGGAGCTCGTAGCCAACTTACAATGCGATGGTTGGGGTATTCTTCCTCTCTAGTCCCCTTTGCAGATTGTTGTGTTTTCTTTGCTGTTCCCAGTGGAGTCCCTTTCTCTGAACACGAGGCTATTTCCTTCCCATCAATGAAAAATACTGTTCACAGTCACTGGACTTGTGAACTCATGGAGGCTGGTGGCTTGTTCATTCCCCTCCCGATTGCATTAGGACTGCACTTGTGCTGGCGGCTTTGGGGAGCCCAGTTCTGGATAGTGCCTAACCGTGCAGGCAGAAGACAGTAAGGAGCAGAGGGGAAAAGGCAGGCGTTGAGTTTAGTGGCTCTCAAATGCACAAAGTGAATTTTCCAGTCATGCTAAGGAGTCTGGCCTGTAACACCAGGAAATGCTGGCTCTGAATGCCTTGCCAGGGATGGAAAATTACAAAACCAAATTCAAATTTCAGTCATCTCACCCCTTCTGTGAACACAAATAATACCGAGCTCATGGGAGGGCACTTCAACCACCCTAATTCCTCAGAGAGCAGGAGAAACACAGGCCTGCAGCATGCCAGCTGGTCACAAGGCAATGTCAGCACTCACTAGCCATTGGGGCCAGCGTGCCAGCCAATCACTAGTCAATGTCAGCACTCACTAGCCATTGGGTCCAGCATGCCAGCCAATGACTAGTCAATCGCAGCACTCACTAGCCATTGGGGCCAGCGTGCCAGCCAATGACTAGTCAATGGCAGCACTCACTAGCCATTGGGGCCAGTGTGCCAGCCAATGACTAGTCAATCGCAGCACTCACTAGCCATTGGGGCCAGCGTGCCAGCCAATGACTAGTCAATGGCAGCACTCACTAGCCATTGGGGCCAGCGTGCCAGCCAATGACTAGTCAATGGCAGCACTCACTAGCCATTGGGGCCAGCATGCCAGCCAATCACTAGTCAATGGCAACACTCACTAGCCATTGGGGCCAGTGTGCCAGCCAATGACTAGTCAATCGCAGCACTCACTAGCCATTGGGGCCAGCGTGCCAGCCAATCACTAGTCATTGGCAACACTCACTAGCCATTGGGGCCAGCGTGCCAGCCAATCACTAGTCAATGGCAACACTCACTAGCCATTGGGGCCAGCGTGATCAGCCAGCATTCCATTCAATAGTCTCATTTTGCTCCTTTGCTTGGTTTCAGGAAAAAGGAAGAGAAAGGAAGAGCAAGAAAAGCGAGATAACACGAATGGAAACAGAAACCAGAAAGACACCAAAGATGCCAAATCTGGCACCAAGAAAAGGAAAGGCCAGCAGAGAGGGACTGTGGTCCCCATGACTCCTGCTAGCCCTGCTCAATAGCTGCCCCTTTACAGTCACATGATGGCAAGAGTTCATTGCTGCTATGTATATGAAAGCTTTATCGAACCGGAGCACTGCTACACAACATACACAATCAGAAAGATAGACGGACAGACACAGAAACTACATATACACATAAAGACTGACAGAGATCACACACATACGCAACACAGACTGCAAAGCGCAAACTTCTAAGAAGAGGAGTAAGAAAATATAAGAGATGAAGCTTAAATGCCAAGGACTTTACAATGGGAAGCTGGGGAGAAAGTGTGACCAGAGTGGAGGGCAGTGATGCAGATATTCCTGATTAAATGTCTCAAATAGAAGTCAGCCATGTAAACCCCAGCATAACGCAGCTTCAGCCAGAGACTAGAACTGATTTGCTACTATTCCAAATCAAAGGATCTGGATTCGCGCAAAGGCAGTGGCCTGTTTCTATTCCCCCTTCCTTTATTTTGTGTTTTAAGCTGTAAGAGAATATATGTTAAACCTTTGTGAGAAGAGGTCAGAGATGTCTGCCCTGAAATGGCTTCAAAAATTTATTTCAAATTAAAAAAAAAATCCAACAAAATGACAACCAAATTTCCGAGCGTGTGGTTTATGGCTCAGCCCCCGCAGAGGCTGGTGGCCCGGGGGGCAGGGCCTCACTTGCAGAAGGAAAACTCATAAGAGCTTTAAGAAAATCTCACAAAATGTTGCCAGCTGCATCCTAGCCACAAGTCAGTTGTCCTTCACTTTCACAATCCCTGTCTGTGCTCAGTTAGCCCTGTCGGGAATTTCCCATCATGCAGCAAGTTGAGAAAATGAGAGGTTACAGCCAACCACAGGTTGTTTGACGCTGCGATTCTGACGACAGTCGCAGCTGAAAGGATTCTGTGCTGAACTGAGGAAGGTGCTGGTCCCTTTGTCCAGACTCCTCCCACACCTCATGGAGAAAAGCCGTGCACTTCAGTCTCTGCAGGTGGAAAAGGGTGCAGAACCTTTACATCCATTAGAAAACCATTCATCTGTATGTCACCAGTTGGACTGGCTTAGAATTAGCACCAGCACTCTCTAGGTCTCCCCACTTCTTAGCGAAGATTTCATCCCCTGGGTGAAATTCACCACTGTGCAGCACAGGGCTTCCCAGAGACTGAAGCAGCCACACTCTGTGCAGCCGCTGTGTCCAGGGTGGATTTTACCCAAAGCACTGTAATGAGGCTGCATAGTACTCAGTCTTATCCAGCGGTGCAAGTAGGGAGGTCCGGTCCGGTACGCCGTACCAGTAAGCTATTTATAGCCGGTCCGCCGTACTGGAAGGACACAGGAGGAGCAGAACGGCGGCCCCACACTGGCAGCTCCTCCAGCGCGGCTGTACTGCCCCTAGCCCTTCCACGCAGCTGCGTCTAGCGTCTCCTGTCTGGGGTCTGTAGGCAGCCCCGCCGGAGGACAGGGCTGGGGGCGGTACAGCCACGCCGGAGGAGCTGCCGGTGTGGGGCCGCCTCACGTTCTGCACCTTTCAGCCCTGCGGTTCCGGAGAGCCCTGCCGTTCAGAAGTCTCCGGCGCAGCGGGAGGAGGACAGAGCGCCCCCCAGGTAACGTGGGATGAAGCATGTGGAGGGGAAGGGGAGAGCGCGGGGCCCCAGGCTGGGGGCGGGAGGGTGGTCATGTGAGGAGTCACGTGGGGGGTCACATGGGGAAGTCACATGCCCCCCTTTAGCTGGTGCAGCATACCAGTAAGAAATGAATTCTATTTGCCCCACAGGTCTTATCTTTCTAAGTGTGCATCCCTTGGTGTAGATATTTGCAGACCCTTCTTCATCCCTTTAAGATCCAGCCCAAATCACTGCTCCCGAGGGATGGGCCCAGGCGAGCTGCCCTGCCCCACAGGGCAGTATCCTGGGCAAACTGCCCACCCTCCCGGGGGTGTCAGGGGCAAGCTGTCCTGCCCCCAAGGGGCATCAGGGTGAGCTGACCTGCCCCCCTCCCCCCGCTGATCCCTAGCACTCAGCAGGTTTTTGGTTATTACCATTAATATTACACCTGTTTTGTTCCTGCTCTGCTTCCTGGCTGTGGCAGAGTGCGAAAGCAACCAGTGCTTCTCAGGGGTACATGTACTTGGGGAGAACTGCCCCCGACACGTAATGTGCTGACGCCTTCCGAGGTCCCACATGGCCACCTGATGCAACTGGCTGCATCTCCTCACACGCTCGTCCTGCCGGCTAGCTGGGAAGAGTGCTCGTTGTATTTCGGAAACACAAGTCCATGCAGTTGCAATTCTAGGAAAAGCTACTGGAATTCTCTTTTTGGCCCACCTGCTCTAGTGCCGTTTTGGCAGGGTTCAGAATGTGGGAGCCATATAGTTGTCCCAGTTCCAGAACTGCACCAAGCTCTCTGTGCCTGCCGTGCTGACAGCAGGGCCTTTGGGCCCATCATCCACTTTGTATTTAAGTAAACAAGCAGCCGTTAGATCTTTTCGAGGGGATTCCATTTCAGCACAATGATAAATGAGCAGCATACCAGGCAGAGAGCGCGAGAGGTTCTCAAAACTCGTCTTTTCAACTGTTTATAGATCATGTTTAGATGAATCCTGGAGGAGACCTCCCCAGTTGAAAGACTGGATCTCGCTTTATTTTCTGTTGTCAGCAAGCTGTGAGACAAGTAGCCTGTTTGTATTGTGGCTTTGTACCTAACATGGACCTTTTTCCCTCCAGCTGCTTATCAGCAATACCCAGTAACCCTTTCGGGAGTCTCACTTTGCTAATTTCCACCCCCATCCCCAGGGCCCCAATCCACTCCTCAGCAAAGACTGAAGAGCAGAGAGAGGGCATTAATGATTAATGATCATTATATTCCTGACGGTTACCATTCAGGATTCCCTACAGTACAGAATATCCAATATTAGCCTCCATATTTAAAAACTCAGCTGCACATCAAGATAAATCAACCAGGCACATGTGGTGCTGCGGCGTCTTTGATTTGCTGTTGTTGTCATGTTTGTTTGTCAGTTACGTGTTATTTCAGAGGAGGAGTGCACAGTCTAGGCAACACTTCAGTTCCACCTCAGCCCTGTTTTGACATCTTAAGTGTGCATGGCCCTTGTGCGAAACCTGTGCCAGGGGGGATTTTCACTCCAAATGTGTTAACTTGCAGTGGGGCCCTCAGTCATTAGCGAGGGCTGTTGGCAAAGGTTTCCAGTCCTCTCTGCTGGGTTGGGTTGGAAATGGCGGCTTTTCCTGTCAAAGCAATACTTCAATAGAGGTGTCTGACCCTCAAAACTTTCGACACAAATGTCACTCGGATCTGTCTGCTCCATAGCTAGTGCAGGGAGGGGGGGGGTCACCATTAGTGCCAGGTGCGTCTAGGCAACGTTGCCACCTGAGGTTTGGTTTGGATCCACTTAGAGCTTGTCGAAATTCTTCAATGGCCTTTTTTTTAAACTGAAAATTTTGCAAAAGAAGTTCATTTTGTGACATTTGGGGGGGGGGGGGTTCTAGCTTTTTTCCTTCTCTCTCTCTCCCTGTTTCAGCAGCAAAATGGAAAAACACAAAACACAAACATTTCGTTTTGAAAATTTTCAGTTTAAAAAATTGTGGTTTTTTTTAAATCCATTCTTTTAGAAAACTTTGACAGGAAATTTTTTTCTAAAAGTTTTGAAAATGTTCATGATTTTCCCCCATGTGTTTTGCATGTTCATTGACACCCCCAGAGAGCTGGTTTGTGTTTGGGGATTTAAAAGCATTTTGCCTTTAGCCAACATGTTTCCAAGAAGAGGCGCTTGGGCTCAAACACCTGGGGAATGCTGGGGGGGGGCGACTGGTCCCAATTTGGGAATTTTTTAGGAGGGCTTCATTCATCTCAGTTCAGTTGCACGTTAATGCTCTCTCAGTGGTGCTGGAACCATTTGTAGAGTGGGGGGCTGAGAGCCATTGAACCAGCTGCAGCACCCCCAGCTCCCCTAGGTCTGCCACCTATGTGCTTTCTTTCCCTTTGCAATACAAGATCTGCTGTGGTGTTCTCTACATGGCATCTCCATAAAACATGCTTCTTAGCAGGCTGTGGGGCTGGTAATTTTTGTTCACATATCGTTCACAAAAATCAGGGTGTGTCTCAAACAAGTGGTTCAAAAATATTTACAGAAAGGACAAAACATCTCTTATGAAGCAGTTCATTCTCCACAATTCCAGGCAGATTAATGCTTCAGGTATCTGTATGGCTACCTGTAAGGCAACACTATTACCTCTGGATTCTAAAGCTGCGTGAATTCATGTCCCACACCTCCACCCAATCTTTTATGGAATTGGAGGGGTGTTCTGTGCTATGGATAGATAGATTAGATTGATTCATGGACATTGTTGAAAGCTCCTTTGGACAGAGATGTCTTTGTTTAAATTAGTGAGACAAAAACACTTTTACTCACGTCGAGTCAATGGTAGTTTTCTTTTCAAAATCTGCATGCATAGCTTCCAGATATTTTGCTTAGCGTTTGGGTAATTTTTCCCAGTTCTGATGGAACTAGAGCAACGGAGAAGGAACTCTACAACCCTCAGTTTTGAAATTGTTTAATTTCTAGCTCATTTGCTGAGATGTAGGCGCCGAGACAGACCCATCTCACCAAACACAGACTGGTTGTAAGTATTATGCTTTCACCCTCCATGTTTAATATAAATCCAGATTTTCACCTGCCACAGTTAGGTTTAAAATGAGCACACACAGAATCCTCAAATAATAATTTACTAACCTTCTACTCCCATAGAAATGGAGGGAATGTATACATGTTTTAGTTCATGTTTACATTAAAATGATTTTTCACTCAGAAGAGGTCCTGGCTTTGATTAAAGGAAGGATATTCGGATGGTGGCCTAGGTGCTCTTTGATGCTATTATTTGGGTTACATTGTTGAAGGAGAGCTGAGAGGAGATTTGGCTGATATTGACAGATTTTATTAAATCAATGGACCTCACAGAAAGGGAAGGTAAAACTGAACTCTTTTTTTTTAAAATCTCCATTTAAATGACAGAAATCCCAACTTTATACAACCAGTCATCCCAAATAAATCATTCTGATGGTATTTATATACAGGATAATACACTGTACCCAGCTGAATACCACACTACAGTTCAGGCAGAAGAGCCTGCCAGCACCCCACTGGTATCTGAAGAGCAGCAGAGCCCTGCTGAGAACAAATAGTCGTCTGGGGGTTGTAGGCAGATTATATAGTATTATTTACAACCAGTGCAAAGCAGCTTGGCAAGATTCTTGTGTGTCATCCATCTTGCACATGGACAAATTGTATGCAAAATCACCGGACACGGACTGCTAGAAGCTAAAATGCAGCACATGCTATGCACCGCTTTCTGGAGAATAAATCACATTTTATGCCTAATAAATTCAGATCTCAAAATCTCCCTGTCTTACTTTATTTTCAGAGAGAATATTTATGTGTAAATGCTTTATATTCCAGATTCCTAATAAATACTTTATACATATGATAGAGATCATTGGCCTGATTCACAACGCTGCCATAACTCCATGGCCTTCAACGGAATGATGCAGTGGTCAGTCAGGCCCTATCAATCTAAGAGAACTGCA